GGAAAGGAAAGAGGGAGGCAAAGAGGAAGGAAAATAGAGTAGGAATGAAGGAGAGAGAAGGGAGGAGGAGGACGAAAGCAGGGTTAGAAGGAAGAAAGAAGGGAGGTAGAAAGGGAGGGAAAGAAAGAAATAAGGAAGGGAGGGAAAGGAACTGGGGACAAGAGGCGACAGGAGAGAAAGCTCTGAAGGAAAATTTAGCTTAGGGACTATATCAGAGGTTACTTGTCCACCAATATTCATTCTCCCCATATTTAATAATGCAAGTTCTAAGTTGTACCTGGGCACAGCCCCTCAGCTGAAGACTATATTTCCCAGCCCTCCTTGAAGCTTGGTGAGGCCATGAGCAGAAGGGTATGTACTGCTTCCAGCTCACTCTAAGTCTCCTTTCCTCCCTGCTGACTGCAGCTGTAGCTGCTGCCCTGCCTCCAGACCCAGCCTACTGGCTTCTGGACTGTCACATAGAGGATAGAAGCTTCAATCCTGATAACGTCACTGTATTTTAGGATCTTTCTGTTTTAATAGGTTAGCCGGTGCCTTAACAAACACAGAGACTCAGGGTTTTCATATTGTAGTATGTAGAGGGCATCCATCTAAGCTGTGATTTAATCAAGTCTCCTGTTCAAGTGAGTTTGTAAGTTTATGTCAATCAATTTACTAACAGTTAATATTTCTCAGCATGTGCTCTATTCAAGCACTCTGCTTGGCACTATAGTTATATGTGACATCATCCAGCCCCCAAGAAATTGACAATCTAGCCATGAAGACCAGACAGACAGAAAATACCACAAAGCAGCCCTGTGCATTCCTACTCTCCACACCAGCGGCATCAACGACAGCCCCACTTCTTCCACCTTCATCAATAACACTCCTCTTGGCCCGAGGACCCTCCCAACTTGAAATAAGATTTGATGGTGTTTGAATACGTTTTCCCTTCCCAAATCACTTCATTTTCCTCTACCTCAAATTTTCCAATTATGAAATAGTCCCAGTGTGACTATCAATGTCTTCACCCGTTTGACTTTATGACTTGAGCTTCCCAACCCCTCCAATTGGCCTCCTCCTCTCCAGCCCTAAGGCACATGGAGGTGGATCTGGGGCATTGCATAGTGTTTTGTTTGAGTCATGCACCATGGATGTTGAAAATAATCACTCAATGCGTCTCGTCCCGTGCCCCCCAAAAAGCACACCCCGCATTGCTATGCTGGCCGCTGCTGTGCCTAGTGCTGAGTGGCTGCCTTACAAGGAGCCAGAGAAGAGTAGCTGTGCAGACTGGCCCGGACGCCTAGGACCAAAGCCAGAAAAGGAAAAGGTAAGCAGACTGCACAAAATCAGGAGGTGGATTGATGAGATGAGAAGGAATATGGAATGATTCTCATATGCCATTGGCAAGTGAGTCTAAAGCTGTTTCTTAAATGAAATCAAATTGTTTCACTGTTCACCACAGGCGAGAGTAGTATCTGTGTATGATGTTGACCAACATTAAATGAAACACACACATGAAGTGGAGTTTCATCTATTTCTTTTTTTTTTAAATTTTATTGTATTGATTTTTTACAGAGAGGAAGGGAGAGGGATAGAGAGTTAGAAACATCAGTGAGAGAGAAACATTGATCAGCTGCCTCCTGCACACCTCCTACTGGGGATGTGCCCGCAACCAAGGTAGATGCCCTTGACCGGAATCGAACCTGGGACCTTTCAGTCCGCAGGCTGATGCTCTATCCACTGAGCCAAACCGGTTAGAGCTCATCTATTTCTTTGGATTAATTACATCTCCAACCTAGTTATGAGGGAGAACTGGAGCAATTTCTAACTGTTAGGTGAGGTTGAAAGCAATCTCCAACCTCCTGGCTATGAGGGGAACCATTTGAAATATAGAGAAGAGAGTTGTTTTGTATTAGGAAGAGCTGCTCAAGTAAATCTAACTTATTGAGTGACAGTATTTTTTTTTAATATATTTTATTGACTTTTTACAGAGAGGAAGGGAGAGGGATAGAGAGCTAGAAACATCTATGAGAGAGAAACATTGATCAGCTGCCTCCTGCACACCCCCTACTGGGGATGGGCCCGAAACCAAGGTAGATGCCCTTGACCGGAATCGAACCTGGGACCCTTCAGTCCGCAGGCCGACACTCTATCCACTGAGCCAAATCAGTTACGGCAAGTGACAGTATTTTCATGTATAAAAATTAGATAGCAATGCAGGATTTCTCTGAAAGTTACCGATAAAGCAAATGCCCAGCACATTGCCTGATCCAGAGGAATTAATCAGCAGTTGTTAGCTCGATCAGAAATGAACATTTAAAAAAGCTAACATTTGTTCCAAAATGAAAATAAGAACCTAGCGACATGAAGGAAAGGGCTGCCAGAATATGATATGAAAAAACTAGGAAAATAATTCCTGGGAGGAAACTTATATCCCCTGAAAAGGAACGATTTCGAAAAACTGGCAAAGACACAGCATGAAGTGACAGAGAAATGTGTAGGAATGTTCTGAAACTGGAGGGGATCTCCAAGGACATGAACCCAGGAAAGAAAAAGAATGATTCATTGAGCTTTCCTAGAAGCAGGACAGCAGAGCAGGTCTAGCCTAATACAGACTCGAGGGGTGCATGCGGATTATTTTCAGCCACACATAAGAGAGGGCCTTGTGGAACTTCCCCTGAAATCAAGGTTGAAAAGAAACAAAAGGAAAATCTTTTGGAGAACTGGAAAGAGATTCAAAAGCCTGAGATACATGGAATAAAACAGTAATGTAAGATTCTATATTCCTGTAATTTGCCAAACTGTTGGAGTGTTGACCTCAGGAGACTCCCATATGTTGTGTGGAATCACTTTGGATGCTGACAGCATGTGTGGTGTTTCACAGACACAGGCTCTGAGGAGGGGGCGGGACTGCCGGGCTGGACCCGAAGCTGCATGAGGAGAGAAACGTGCCATCATTGCAAGGACAGAAAGGTGGGCCCTGGGAGCCTGTGTGCCTGGCCCTTTGTCCAGTGATACTCCGGTGCCTGCCCACTGTGCCCACGCTGAGCCTGAGATGTCATTTGATTTGCACCTTTTTTCTAACAGAGTAAAGGATCGAGTGTCTGGATTCCACCAGTGTCCCCTCAGCCGGAAACAGCTGTTCTGTCCCGGCAGAAGCATCTACCTCTGCCTGACAGGTAAACAGCCCACAGAACAGAGAAGTGACTCCTCCAAGGGACGCAAGAGCTCCTGGTAGTTAGAGAGGAAGAAAGGGAAGGAAACCCATTCCTGAGCCTCTAACCACATTCACAGCCAAGTCCCACTATCAGGTGTGGTTCTGCTTTGTTTTCAAGAAGGAGGCAGAAACCCTACACCACCCACCCCACCAGCCTCCAGCTTGTGGGCAGAGCTGGGGCACCCGCCCTGTGCCCGTACCTTGTGGGCAGGGAAGGGCCAGGAAACTCTCAGAACACTGAAGCCTGGTTTCCCGCAGTCTTCCATTGGATGCACCTGCCCTGCCCTTTCATGTCCCTTCAATCCTGCCCCCATGCAGCACCTGCACCCCAGTCGTGGCCAAGCCCATCCCTAAGTTCCACACCCCAAAGGAGAAGAGACAGGGAAGACAAACCCAGGCAGAACTGCGGTCTGACCCACATGGAGGCCAGATGGCTCTTTTTGCCTAGGAATGCATTTCCCTCAGACAGCTCCAGCTCCAAGGCTGTGAGAGGGCCTGTCGCTGCAGGCAAATGTCAGGCTGGCGTTCGCCCCGACTCCAGCAGGAGGGAAAAGCAAGTGCACCCTTGCTTCCCTGGGCCCTCACAAAGTCCAGAACCATTTATTTTCCTTTGCTTAATCTCCCCTCCTGCCACCAGGATGGTGTGAGGCCTGGAAATCTGTGCTCAGCACAAGACAAAACAGAGGAAGAAGCCGGCACAAGTGTTTTCTCCGCCCTGCTGCCTGGGGAGCCGGGCCTTGCCTTTGACATGTGCTGGAGGTGTGGGGTCCAAACTAAACCTTTGAACTATTTTTTGGAACCTCCAAAAAGACCCTGCACATCAAAGGGGATCTGATCCCTGCTCCGTGCGTTGCAGGCATCGTTAAGCATTTTGCATGAATCAACCACCTTCTGAAAAAGAAAGAAAGACCAAACTCAAAGCACATTGCCAGGCCTTGGACCCAAGCGTGGCCCAAAGCACATGCTCACCACATGGCTGCTTCCTCTGGTTCATTGGAATCAAACCCTGCAGACACGCCCCAGGCTCCTCCATTGCTCAGCGGTCATCACAGAGCCTCTCGCTGCAGCCTCCCGGGTCAGGATACAATGGGGGCATTTGTTGGAGCAGCCTCATGCCCCTCGCCCATGCCCACCTCTAGAGAGTCCACATGAGCTCTGACTCTAGTCACGAGGGGAGCCCTGCTGGGCTGCCCACCCCAAAAGCCAGCACAGGATGCAGCCTGCAGCTGAATAAGGATATCTGTGTGAGCTCCTTGGCACCATGCCCAGAAAGCCACATCGTATGCAAGCACCGGCATTGGTGAGCATGGCAGAGAATTCCAGTTTCTGAAAGAAGGCCGAGTAGGGAGCAGATCCTGAGGCTTGAGGCACTTCTGCCATTTACCTTCCGTGGAGTTCACTCGGTTCCCCACAGGCAGCCAAGGTGATGAGCAGGGGTGGGCCTAAGCTGCAGAGGCCACAGTTGCCCCAGTAACTCCTAGAAATTGGTAAGATATTCTCTTCTGACCAGTCTCAGGAGGGAAACATTCTCAGGCCCTCACCTACCAGCCATGCTATCTTCAGACCCACAGCTGAAGCCATCATTTGAGGACAGATGGGAGTGGCCGGGAGAGGCCACTTATGTCCTCTCCAGCCCCTCACAACTTCAACCCACTAACAGCCTTCAAAGCATCAGAAAGATATCTGACCCTATGATTTTACTAGCAGTACATGATACAGTTTTTAAGACAAGATGTTGTCATTCTTGGCAATTGTCTTTTCTTAAAGTCATTTTCTCTTCTAGGTTCAGGAAAAGAAAAAAGGTTTAAAACTGCTAATGTAACCTCACTGGTAAGAGTTTTAATTAGCAGTTCAAAAACTGCCCACGTTCTGGCTTTTTAATTAATAGGCACAATTTCTGTTGAGTTCTACTTCAGTAGGTGCTATATAAAACCAGTGAGTGGGTGACATTATTCCATTCAAAAAAGAATTATAGAAAGAAGGGGGGAAAGCTGAATTAGAAGGAACAGAGAAGACACATGAACTGTTTCTCTGGGTTATAACTTTATACATAAACATTCTTACCTAACACCTCTTGCTAGAAGCCCTTAGCCTCATGGCCAATCAACCCCTTGAATCATTTTAACCCCTTGATACCCTAACCCCTGAGTCCAGATACTGGAGATCCCAGCCAGATACCCTCATTCAACAAATACTGATGGAGCATGCTACCTGCCAAGCACCAGGCAGGAACCAAGTATTCTGAGATGAAAGAGCTGGTCCCACTGTCCAAGGGCTGATAGTCTTATCAAAGATAACCACCTAAGGAAAAAAATGTTGTACTAGTATGACTAGATTATAAGCACCCAAGTGCAGATATGCTGTCTTATTCATTTTTATCTTCCCATGATCTAGACAAAGCCTAAACACAGTAGGAAATTATTAAATGTTTGCCAAATGACAAAGACAGGGCGAATAATGGGTGCCTCCACATGTACAGCAGTGACACAAAAGAAGGATGATCAGCTCTGCCAGGGTGGGGTAAAGCCAGGTGACAGTTACCTGGCACATTGAAGGAAGGATTTCTCCATGGCATCTGTTCTAATTGCTCAGAGCCCAAGCAGACCAGCTGGTAAGTATATTGGTCATCATCATAGGGAGAGCACCGAGTCCCTGGACCTGAGTCTTAAAGGCCAAGTGTGGGTTTCCCAAACAGACAAGCTGGAAGGGCATTCTGGACAGAAGCAGTGTTACAGACAAAGGCAAATAAACCTGACATTTACCAAACAAGTTGGAAAGTCTGAAGAGAGAGCCTGGGCTAAGACACAGGAGCGAAATTCTTAAGAGTGTCATCTATCACACACAGGAAGGCAGCGTTTATCCTGAGGGTGATGAGAAGTCATCAGAAGACTCTAATCAAAAAGAGACCTGATGGCCCTAGCTGGTTTGGCTCAGTGGATAATGGATTTTGGTGTGTGTTTTTGTTTGTTTGTTTGGGGGTTTTGTTTCATTTTTTTTTCAGTCTCATGCCGTCTCTTTGACTCTCTTCCCCCCCCC